TATTATGTAAAATTACTCTACAGAAGTGTATAATAGGTATCCATAATATATAACATACATATCTAAAGCAATAGAGGTCAAGTATCGAGGTTGGTGTGTTGTCTATGTGTACAGTTTTCACGCAGTGTAGGCGTATCGATAATTTATTCGCCATTGTTTATTGCAAATGTTTTGACAATGCAAATGTGTGTTAGGTTATTTCCGTGGACGTTCTGTCGAGCATAATATAGCCGATATTATGTAAATTAAAGTTGAGCCAACAGTAATGTTATAATTCAAAGGAATTCGTGCATTGGAAAATAAACCACAGGTATACCGAGTATAAAATGTATTTATTTTTTTTTTTTAAAGCGATGACGAATATTGTCTGTTCTATTTTATATTCTACAGATTACTATAAAAATACCTATTATATTATACGCACTGCATTATATAATGTCGATAAATTATATATTATTATTTGGGTATTTAAAAACAAAAAAAAATCATTTTTTAGTTAGAAAATAATAACACAAGTACCTACAAACATATATATATATATACCTATTTTTGCTTTCCACGTTTTGTTACGTGCATTTTTTTCCTAACACCAAATGATCCATTTAACGCACACCATACTATAATTAACTTGGTGAACTTTTATGGTTGTACTTGTACCTATACCAACATATTATTATAACATACAYATAGTAACATGTAGGCACGTTCATTCCAGGCATAGGTACCTATTTATGTTTGCTGCGGTGCAATRGATACGCACATTCCACATTACTATATATATTATTATTAAGTCGTGGTGACAAAAAACTTAATTTTTACTAATACCTCATCGACGTTTAACAGCAGGTTACTAAAATATAACAGGTAAGTAAACCGACGCCGGGGAAAAAAACCACCAATCGTATTCATAATTTAATGCTACACGCTGCCGAATATTTTTAAATAGGTACATCACGCCCTTGAGTTATATAGGTACTCTGTACGAGGTGGCGTAAATTCCCCGTCCTTGTGTGTTCGCTACAAACACCGAAAACCATATAATATTTTCTGTGTGCCATCGTTTGTTATACATATACCTATAGGTTATGTATATTATATACAATACACTCCCTTATTGGCTGACGTTTCGAAAAAAGCAAACACCTTTATCATTGATCACACTACTATACATAACAACATTATTATTATTATATAATACGACACGTAAATAGTATAATAATAGTATGTGTACTTATTATATATAATATACGCGTTGACTATTAATAATTGTTATGTAAGACACTATTTTAAACTAAAACGGCTATGCTAACAAGCATTATTTAAAATATTAAAACATTCCGAGAATAATAATATAGGTGTTGATATTATAGGTTAGGTTAGTCGTTATAAATATTAACGTCAACACAGAGGTAATACTTTGACGCTTATAGGTAAATAACAGCGCGCCACCGACACGATATACGAACTTTATGGTAATATTTTATGAAACGACCGAATAGACAAAATCTGTCTTACATGCGGTGCAGCTGGTATACTGTATCCGAAACTGCAGAGATAATTATAAATTTATAATATTTTCAACATAATGTGTTATTATTAAATCGCGATGCAGACGTCAACGTTATCATAAAATGTACAACAAATARAAAGAGGAGTAGATGACGTATACAAAGGGATGTCAAAAATGTTGCGAATGAAATATATTTTTATATTTTTTCCGTTTCTCATATTTGTTGGATAATTAAATGCCGTGCGAAAAAATCAACTTCTTTGAAAGAAACTAAATTAATATAGCTGTAACGTCGCGTATATTCGGTTTTTGTATCATTTCATATTTCTGGAAAGATACAAAAATTATTACAAAATAATAAATATAATAGTAAAAAGATATATAAAGTTGTATTATATTGTGTATTATGATAAATTTCAAACGTCCGACTAGTCAAAAGCATATTCATTATTGAAAATGATCAAATACAAAAGCGAGTAAAAATAAATTGATAAATTATATTATTATAATATTGACTGACATGTATATAAAAACTTTTGGAGAAACGACTAACGAGAGGTTATTTTCACAATACCAGATAATTATATGCATATTGTATTGCTATGAATATAATATAAATGATGGGGAGGGTCATGGGGACACAGTTGACAGTTCATTATTGTAAGTTCTGATTTGTATGACAATACAAAATATACATATACAAGACATTACTTTTAGCCTTTAGCACAAGCACTAGGTAATGTTACCTAGAAAATTATTGATTTCTGATTTCATGTTATAAAATAAATTTTRAAAAAGTGGGCAAGGGGGTATCGCTTTGCTGAGAATTTTTGAAAATTTAATCGTAAATAGATAACACTAATATAAACATTTGATGAAAATTTCAAGTCTTTAAAACGATTCGTTTTTGAATTACAGCAAAATAAAAAATCGATTTTGTTGAAAACTGATTATGCGGAAAATTCCCGTTTTTAGTTACTTTTTTTGGGGTTTTTCCTTACACTTTTGAAAACTATCTTTTTCTTTTGACCCCTCCAAAGTACCAACTAGATGAATTTTGTTTTCAACGAAGGGCTGAAAAGTCAAAAATCAAAGCATTATTTCTACTCCAAAACRTGACGACAGACACAAAAATAAAAATAATAAAAACATACATCAATGTAAAATCAATACATTCCTAACTTCGTTCAGAATCTAAAATATATTATAGGCACAACATATATTTACTATTTTTTTTGTTTATCATTAAGTAGGTTTTTATTTTTTTGTAAATTACAACATACTATTATTTTTAGCTCGATAATTTGAGCGGAATGGATACTGAATACATTGGCTCTATAATCTATATATATAAAGACATAAAGTACTTTTCAAAATAATCGAGTAAATCACAAACAAAAACAGGAATATCAGCTGATACTTATCCTCCTCACAACTTTTTCTCGTAATCATTTTATGCTTACAATGACTTATCGTTCAATTTAAATTTAACACATTAATTACGATGATGAATTACACTCAAAAATGACTATACAWCAGAGTGATTTCATTGATTTATTTTAATTTTGTATTCTGAAGCAGCATATTTTTCKGAAAATGTTTATAAATAAAAATAAAATATTGAACGAGTGTGTATAGTTAATTTTATGAAAGAAATAGTGGACCAACATTTTGAAGGGTCAGACTGGAGTGTTCATCGTATTCTTGATAAACTTATCGGTTGAAAGTTCARTTTTTATACGCATCACAATCATCGGAAACATATTCTACTTTAAAACACGAAGATTTAATAACTTTAAAAAATATACAACGRTAAAAATTAGTAATAAAAACAATTTCTTTTAGAAAACGTATTGTAATGACTTCGAATTATGTATATAAAAAAAAAGGTGTTTATTTTCAAATACGTTCATATTTTTCGATGCGATGCGCTGTTTACTGGATTTATAACGAATTACGATATACCTAAAGCGTAATCCTTTAGTGCAGCTGTCGTGCATGTTGTTGTACTATTGCATCGAACGCGACTTCGCTATAATACCTAAATATATGTATATACAACACGCACACATGAATATAAGTCGAGGGGAAAGAATAAAAATGTAGGAGGTTGCGAGGTTGCAGCGGGGGCGTGTGTTGTTTCGAACGAAAATCGATAAATCGCGGCGGGCGAGCATGGACAAATTTCTACGGGTAGGCGAATAATATTCTTAGCTATGATATATTTGTTTTTATTTTTCTGAACGACGTCGTATCATAATGACAATTTTGCACCGAACTGCATTTAAGAACTTGTCGACGGAGGAGCAAATACCGAATTCGTCTGTATATATTGCCGGATCAGCTGAGTTAAAGTCGAACTGGTTCCGATCGTTTCAACGGTAGGTCGATTGAACTATACTACGCTCGGTCGCCCACTGAAATATTGAATGAAGCCTAATACAATAGTTATTCTTTACGGTATGTCGGTATACCTATATATATATATATATATATGTGTGTGTGTGTGTGTGATATAAATTAAAATATTTTCTACACCCACAGCGAAAAATCGTACGCCACACTTGAAACTGCTGCATCTTTAATCTACTATTATTATGTTATAACGTGGTAATGATATAGTAATAATACCATCTCCTAACAACCATTTATTCATTAACGTTTTACTACTAATTGAATTCGACTGCACAGACCTGCAATCTCGGATTTCATTTCAAGCTCGTTTAACCAGCATGCACTAGTATAAATACTTCAAATGYTATTCCACTTGCATTCGTATGAATATATTATATAATATAATATACGCGTTAAATCTGTTGAAAAACGAAATG